GGCGCCGTTCGGGTCAGGCTTTTTGTCTTCTCCTCTGCTTTTTCCTTCTTTCTCCCTTTTATTTATTTATTATTTTTTATTTTCCCGCACCCCTGCCGTCCTTTTCATGTAGCAAAGCATCAGCAAAGCCGGGGCGCTGCAACGCTTTGGGGCCTACACGCAATGATAAATTGCAACTTCTCCAACTTTCCTCTTCTGGTGTTTGTGCAAGGTCAGGAAAGATGAGTCCGTGGGCAAATGTCAGAGGGAACGTGCTCATTTTTTCCCACCTCTTGCAAAGCTCTTCCCTCTGCCTAGGGTGCTCAGCTAGAGCCAGCCAGGGGAGGCTGCTGAGATCTCTTCTGCTCTCACAAGGCAATGTTCAAGCACGGATCATATTGTCTCTCTGTGCTTCTGGAGTCGTGTCTGGTTCTCAGTTGTCACTTTAGATGGTTGAATGCCCCTGTTTTTCTGTGTAGCGGGAGTAGTATGTTTAAAGATTCAATTAGTGTTTTGCAAATCAAGCAGTGAAGTTATTTAGTTTAATTATGTTGCATTTAATTAGCAGAGAAAAATCAATGCTGTTTTGTATTTTTTTATTGTAAGGAATAGCAAGGCAGCTTCCTACTGGGGAAGGCAGGGTAGCAGTCAGGATGTGCGAAGTACAGCATTCAGGCTTTCCAGTACAGCAGCCACCGATTTAGGAAAGATTCCTGTTTCAAAGGAGTAAAGTTGGTAGCATTGCTTTCTGGTTTTGATCATTTGATTCTGGTTTGTTCTGGCTTCTGCGCTGCACTGTGTACGAATATGTTCTCCTGTGATACGGGTTCTGGAGCGGCCTCCAGGGATAAGCAGACTGGCAGCCGGCTTTTGAGTGCAGTACGTAGGCATGTTTCCAGCTCTTAGTGCTAAGTTATGGTCTTAACAAGTGTGCATCACATCATGGGACAAATGTTGTTCCAGAAATATCATAGGTTAATCTGATGCACAATCCCTTACATAGAATCGCAACATTACGCTTTGCTTTGGGATTCTGGCTATGTCTTTTCAATGCTTACTGGTATATTGCTGCAACTGTTTGTCTGGGAAGTGGGTAACTGAATAAGGAAGGTGTTAGTAGCATATATAGACCTGGGGCCAGTTCTAAAATAATTGCCACTTGTTTATGCTAGAGGTGAATTTGGTTTGGGATTTTAGTAACTGCTGATAGTGCTATAGACAGTAATTACAGATGTATAAAAAAAGTGATCACGTTTTGTTTATTCGCGTGCAGTAAATAACCCTGTGAGAATAGTAAATATAACTCCACACCAGCGAAGCAGCGTGAAGAGTTCAAACGCGGGAAGATGACTCTGTAGACACACACAAACGCAGTGCGGTTCCATAAACAATATAACAGAAAGGCCAAAAAATACCATACAAAACTCATATGCTGCGCAACCTAGAGACCCGACCTTGCAACACACAACTCCCATTGAAGAACTCAAGACATCATGCAGGATCCGTCCCCAGGTCAGTGCTGTAAATGTACAGTTTTGAAGATGCAATGGGTGAAGCCTTGATGTGGAGGCATTCTTTCTAGTGGGTGTGTGTTGTAGTGATGATTTGCTGAACAAGAGAAACTGTAAATCTGGGAAACTGTCCTCGTTCAACTGCTTGTATTTTCATTTCTTTAAGAAGGGTATTTAAAAAAAAAAATTAAATCCATTCCAAATATAAACTGGGGGAGAAAGAAATGGGGAAGGGGAGAGAAGGAGGGCTGGAAGCCAGCTGTTTCAGTGCAGTACAGTCTTGCTCACTGTTTTTGAGTGTTTGAACTTCTGATTGACACAAACAGTTCAGTTAATAGCGTCACCGAATAAACACAGTCTGTAATACCACAGTAATTCTGGGATAATATTTGTCAAAATGTATACAGTAGCAGAACAAAGGATATAGAGTCATGAAACAAACGCTGTGAGGTCTAAGGTCTGTGTATTTGCGTACATTTGAATTTGTTTTTTTTCTTATGGGAACGGAAATACATGCAAAACTCATTATGTTGTAAATAAAATAGGCTGTTGCCTGATAACAAGCCATCCTGACAAACTTCGGAATGGGCTTGGGCTTTGGTTTGACTCTCATGTTCATCTACTTGGGCTGCTGGGAAAAGAAATGTTATTTTATAGGGTTAGATCCCTAGAGGTCTTGCATACATCTGCTCCCTGGGTCCTTAAATGAAACACCTTGTCGGCACTTAATAAAGAACAATAACAAATGATTAGAGATAACAGCTACCATCCTGTCCACCAAGAAGAGCGGATGAGGCTCCCTCTGGAGCCTCTCTGTACTGTTGTTAATCAACAGAAGGGTCACTGTAGAGCGATTCAGAGCACTGCTTTGGAGTGAAGGGAAGCCATCTGGTAATGTGGAATAAGATGGTATATTTTGTTTTCACTAGCATTAGACTGCCTGTTTCGTTAGGCTCCAGCCAGGAGACTTCCAAATACTTTTTGGAAGCAGACTCCCCACTGACTTGAAGAGAAAGAATGGCATCATCCAGTGTTGGTGTTTTGTTGCTGTAGAGCTGTGACTTTTTGTCTTCACTTTCAGGAGGTATTTGCTCTCACCCTAGTTAGTCTTACAGTTTTGATCTGAAGCCCAAAATAGGGATGCCCAGAAAGAGTGGAGAAGGTCACAGATTCTGCTTGGGTTTCCTGTTACCATGGCAATATGTGAATTCCTGTATTTATTTACCTGATGGATTACGTGCTCCAGGGAGTTGAACTATTCTGCATCATTCAGGGAAAATAAGTGAGCACTTAGGCACCATCAGGTCTGAAACCGAAAGCTCTTCCATGAAGCAGGTCCATTCAAGAATGACCTTTATTAAAACCAAAGAACATATGGGTGCCATACTTTGAAGGTTTATTCTACTTGATGTTTTCAGTCTTAGTCTTGTAATTTCTTGTAGGGTTTTCATATACCATGTAAGCTTGCTTTTTCAATAGCTGTCTGCTAAAGGTTCTTTGAGATAATTGTTTCAAGTGTTAGCTACCTGGAGTGCAGTCAGTTATCTCTATTCTGCTCAGGACTTGACTGGATGTGTTTATTCTCAGCAGACTGAAAATGCTGTTGTCCTCACAATTTACTCACAAGCGTTTGCCTGATAAGCAAATTCATCTCTGAAGTCTCCTCCTTTAGTATTGGTGGTATAAACGTCTAGGGGTAATCCCAGGAGAACTCTGTTCTTAAGGAAAATGGCAAAATAGAAGAAACAATTCAGGAGGCCAGATTATTCCCACATTTTTAGGAACTTAATACTTGTTCGGGGTCCCCTATGCCAATTTACATGATTCTGAATTGTGCATCTGTCAGTGTTTTTGTATTAACATGAAGCTTCCTGGGGATCTTACTTTTGAGGAGGATATATTTTGAACTGTGTATATTTTGATCTCTTGAATCATTCTGTGGAAATTATCCTGCATATTTTTTACACCTGTACAGTATTCTGCAGTCTCTATTTGCCTAAGGTATGCTTAGGCATGTTACTAGGCAGAACTCTTTCTCAGTTCAGTTGTGCATTCACCACCGTACGATGCTGTTCAGTATAAGCGAGGGCTTTCACATCAGAAGTTTTGCAGTTGGCAAGTGTAAGTGCTGCTCTGCTGGTGCTTTTCAAACAAAGTAAAAATTCTCTGTGAAATGTCTTGTCCTGGGATCTGAAAATTAAACTCTTCTAAAAAGACTCACGTCACAACCCTAAAGGCAGGTTGGTTCCAATTCTTCCTTACTTGGGCTTTTAGCACTTAACTACGTTTCCTACTATACGCTGCTCGGATAGTAACATCACATACATGTTTTATTGTAACTTGTTTAAAAAGCATCAACAATTCAGTCTAGTTTTGTGTAGAGGCAAAATACAGGTACAAGATGATCGCTATTTAGTGTTTCCTACAAAATGGCACAAAGGGCAGAATTTTGCATTTTTTATAAGTTGGCGTAGGCTTGATGTGTGTTCTGATGCATAGCTTCAAGACTGCAGTGTTCAGAAATGTAGCCTGCGGGATAGCTGGTGCAAGATTGAGATGGTCAAAGCAGTTGTAAGAAGGAAGTGGACAAGGAGTGGAGAAAAAAGACAGCTGAAGTCTACTGGAATGTGAAGGAGCTGGGTTGTGCCTGAGTCAGTGAAAAAGCAGAAACTGGAAACAATTGCTAAATTTATTTGCAGTGCAAGCAATCGTTTTCCTTGAACCGCAATGACTAAATATATCTATCGGTGTGATTTTTATGTGGTGGTAACTCTTACTGGCTCTTGCTAACGTCCTGGCATGCAGCGAGATGAATGGAAGTTCACTGTCAGTCAAGATCATAACGCAAATGTCCTTCATCTAGGTCTGTTCCCTCACTTGCAGAGAACGTTCCCTATTTGTAAGGGACCTGTCGTCTGTTAACATGGCTTTACTCGTTGCAATGTATTGCATGAGTGGAAGAAACCTGGGTATTTGTTTCTAGGGAAGGAAGTCAATTTCTAACTGATTTTCAGGTTTCCTTGGGGTTTTGTTCATCTTTCTGGAAATTCTGAATTACAGTTGATACCTCAGCTGATATTCTAATAACTCTATCCGTAAGTGCATCTGTGCTATATTAGAAAGATTCTGATGCAAAAGTGTGGGTCCTTTTAAAAAAAATACACATTAACTCCTTATTTATTCCAAAGTTGACAGCCTGTGGCTAGAATTGGCAAGAGCGTTTGATTCTGCAGTTTACAGCCTTTTAACTGCAAGTGGACAAGTGGAGGAACATGAAATGTTAACTTTCTAGACTTTATTTTAAAGAAACTAGAGAGATGTTATACCTTTCCCTGGCAGAGGCATTTGATAGCTAATCAGATTTAATTCAAGCGGTGAAACATTATGTGTATTGCAGGAGATGTCTAGATAGTTCTCAGTTGGGCTACTGAGAGGTAACAGCTGGAATTGTTTGTTACCATAGCATCAAATTTGGAAGATCCTTGTACCACAGCAAAGGTAAGATGATAGAGAGCATCTCCAGTCTTTGTGCCAGGTAAAACTCCAGAAACTATGTAGTATATTAAAACCAACAAATTACATATCAGAGCTACAGGTAAGGTCATTTAATGGCCTTTTTCCTCTCTCCTGCTCCTCACCACACCCATCATTTTGCATAGTTTGGATACATGTAGAGGATATAACTTGTTCCATTTTCCAAGGCAAATCATCCCAACATTCTGCTGCTGAAACTAGAGATCTGGAGTTTTGGGATCTTTTGCCAGTTTGCAAAGCTATTGACCTCTGTCTGCTGTTGCTTAGCAGTGAAATGAATTCTTCCAGTCAGTATTCTTCCTGTGGAGACTTTACATTATCTGGAGAAAAAGCTATGCATAGAAGAGGGATCCTTCAGCTCCTCAAATGTGTGACAGAAATAGGCTTCTCTCTCTAAAAACAATTGAAAATTTACTGTGTTGTAAGTGCCAGAATATTTGTGTAATTCTGCTTCGGTGTCATCTGTCTTTTTTTCTTTATTAATGTTAGCGAACTGTAGGATTTGGCCATTGTCATGGAACCAGTATGGAAGGAGTATTAAAATCATGTAGCTATTGCAAGAATATTAGCTCTGTTATTTGTCAGTTTTGTCTAAATAACCAAAGCTTGGCTTTCATGGTGTACAGTTGAGAAATATTGGACAATGTAATGGGATGAGGGGATGGTTAGAGAGAACAATGTGTCATTCTCAGTGCTTTAGTAGAAATTAGAGGAAAAGGGATGGAAAACTAGAGTTATTCACCTTTGCAAGTTTGAATTTGCAGCCCCAGAACTCCAAGGTTGTTGATGGAATGGTTGGAAAGACCAGAAAAGGAGTGAGAAGATGCCCAAACCACAGATGTTAGAAGAGGAGGGAATGGTGGGCTAAGTTGCGTGCGAGTAGAGCAGATAGGAAAAGACAGACGACAGATGACAAAAGCGGAAAGCCGGCAAGGAGGAGGCTCCCAGCAGCTTTCATAGGAGTCTGTTCCAAGGCAAAAAGACAGAAGATGAATTTCAGTAATTCGGAAAAGCTGCAGGAATCCAGCAGGTTGGGACGTGCTGCCAAAGGAATGTTCTACAGTTCTGCTATTCACGTTACTGCAGCCTGAAAAATTTACGGCTATATTACCTGACCCATAGCATCGACTCTTAAAAATACGTTTCTGATCTCTTCTTGTGGTGCGTGACACTGACGCTGATAGAGCAAACAACTTCATCTGTGCGAGAGAGAAATGATGTCCCTGCATATTCTGTGCAGCAACCCGAGGAAGTTGATGGATCAGATTATTGGTCTACTTTTGTGTTGCATATCTCAGTTAAAGCTCTTCAGCTTCAAAACAGTCTCTTGATGTTAAATCTGTTTGCTGTTTTAGTTGCTACCATAGCTCACCTTCTCTGGAGTTTGTAAGATAATGTTTTCATGTTGAGAACAAGGAAGAGGTGAACAGAAACAAGTATAAGAAAGAGATGGTCTGTATCAGAGCA